CTCGAAAACTTGCCCGTGCCTAAATATCCGCACATCTGTTAGATTTTAAAGTCTGCGTTTATAGCTAAGGTTATTGATTCCTTAGTAATTACCACCACGATATCGCGGCCGTTGATAGATAAGAAGTGGCAACCATTTTGTAATTAAATGTTTATGACAAAAAGTAATCGGACACTTACAGGTAATAAATATCACTTGTATTAAAATATCCACTGAACATGTTTTTAGGAAGTATGTAGATCAACACTTTCTCCTTCTATTTATGACAAGACTAGTTTTAAGTCTTAATGACGATCTTGATCAACCGTAGGTCTCCATTCTGGAATGTCTTAATCACTATAGGGACTGAAGGTAAGTAAACTTGTCACGGGTCAACGTAGGCGGAGGGTCAGTGCACTAATATTTTTACCATCAGCCCCCTTTTTAAATAAATACAGTAAAACCTATTTAATACGATTTTAAGAACCAAGAAATTCCTGGACCGTTTGACCAAATCGAAGATCATGTCTCATTGTGTCCGTATCTCAGGGCCTATTTTTTATTATCTGTAAAACAAATTTCGATCGAACGAGTTACGAAGGCTTTTAAAGCAGCACTTGATAAAAATATATCCAGAACAACGACCATTTTCCAACATGCGTTCACAGATGAACAAAGAATTATAAAATGAATGAAAAACTACTTGTGACTGTCTGATTTCCTATAAATACGTATATAATACAAGGATAGAGAAATGAGAAAGGAGGATTTTTTTTAAGTAAATCAATTTTAGGAAAAAATATATGTGAAATGTTGACATTGAAATCAAATATTTATATGTGTAGGTATATGACCATATAATTATTTTACATAGTTCACACATATCACAGTTAAATCAAAACCCACCCGTTGAATCGTTACACACGGAAAGTGAATAACCGAAAGTCATTAATTGTTTGCTGTGCTCCATTACTATGATTTTTCGATAAAACATAAATATATTAGAGTGCCCTTAGTATGTTGGCTGTGACGTACTCGTACGGCCAAATTAAGTTTGTCACTTGGCAGAACAGGGAAATTTTATTCGGGAAAGATACCCGAGATGGACACACAATCTATATTATGCATAAAAAGTCAGAATGGGACCAATTCGGTTGTTTTTTTTTTTTAGGTTTGTCACCTCAGTACTCCGTCATTTTACGACCAGACTATTTACGAACAGATATGGAAAAAAAACAATTAGAACGGTACTTCCGGTTTAATCCCATTCAAATTTAAGGAAAGACAAACTACTGTATAGTTTTTTAGGAAATGGTGGGTTTGATAGTACTTTGAAACTTATTTCTTTAGTTCACTTGACAGCTCGACTTGGCGGGGCACGGGTTAAAAATTTGTGTCTAGTAGAACATGACTTCAAACACCAAGCAATTCAATTAAATCGTTAATTTATGAACATGCCGATAACTGTTAGTTCATATCATAATAATATACACAATATACACATAATATAAACACAAATAATATATAGACCATATTACTTATCTGTATGAAGTCTTGTAGGTAGGATATTTAGCTAGTTCCTTTTAGCGGTACTGGCCTGCCCTGCCGCCTATGGTTTCGCTAAGCTAATTTCTTGTAATTTCTAAGACAATGGTGAACATTCTTATAAATGAATTTAAATAAGACCTGATTAGTAACATCATATGGGTATTATGTATCATTTATATTCAGAATAAGGACTAAAGAATTGATTTTTTTTTGTCTTTGTCAATATTTACACGCATTGAACGCTAAGCTCAGCAACCACTAATCTATTTCAATTTTTTTCTCCGTTTATTAAGAAAGATTATAAAATTTCTTGCTGCGATACCTACAAGTATGTATACCTACCTAGCAATACTTGCAGTAAACATGTTTACCTAGTCTTTTAGTGCGAAATGTAAAAAGCTACGAGTATTTTTCTATTTCGATTTTGTTTTCAATTAAATATTTATATACACTATTTTATTATTTTGCCTTGAATATCCGGGATAGGGAGCTATAACATAAAATGTTTTTCAAAATTAGTTAACATCTCTGTTAATGAAAATTAAACTTGTTATTCAGGGTTATTATTACCCATTATCGTGTTTTAGGTTTTATTCAGCGCTTAAGACTGTATTTGAATTTTTTAAAGTATGTATAGTATGTATTTATAAAAAATCAAATAAACACTTACATTTACTATCTATTTTAATTGCAACTGCATTATTCCTAAAATACAATAATACCTACTATAATTTCCTATTAACTAGAACTTCGTATATTTATCAATACTACCGTAATATTACTTGGTTTTGACGTTGCATCATTATGAATAAACTGTTTTGATTCAACGCTAGCGCAGTCGGTGGCCGCGATTGGCGCTAGTCGGTAAAGACAAACTACCCTTGATTAAAAATATGTATCTACGAGTGTATGTTAAACGCGAAACTTTTATTTGTGATCTAAATTCGGTTCGTGCGTGAATATTTATAGACTATTAAATGTGTGTGTTCTATCTTACAATAGAAACAAAAGTGCTTATTGTGTTTGTCGACAGAGAAAGTTAACACAAATGCTTTTGTCGTTAGATCTGGAAACTGCGCGTGCTATGCGACATGCAATACACGTATTGTATACTAATAATTTTATAAAACAAATCAGTGCACACGTGTACGGATTTATTTAATATAGTAATTTTATATACAAGAAGGATGAACGGTAATAGTATGAATGTAAACAGATCAGTCTTAATACATAGTTAGGTACCTCCATTTTTAACTCAAAGGTATAAATTACTGTGATTTTTATTTTTAGACTACAAAGCGCAATAAAGTCCTACTAAACAGGCCCAAATATCTTTAACTCAAAAGAAACGTTTACTTTGTATACTTAAATTATTAATTATACTTAATTTACGCATTAGTGAAGTAATATCGGTCGGAGGACGTACTTTTGCGTAAATCGGTCACAAGGAAACTTGCAATTTTAGTTGCATGCACATAAACACTTCGAACGATTTGTTTAGATCAATATTTCTGTTGCACTTAGTTAACGCAATAAAGAGGTTTGTTTATTTAGCTATTTGTAAACCCAAAAATATTCTTACTATCTAATCGGACATCTATCGTTTTTAACTATGACGTGTAAACTCAATGCATACACCTAACAGTACTTATGAAATTATTTGACGTAATCTGTAATAAAATAACACTATCTTTTTGTTAGAATCACAGTGGAATTGGCAAAGAATAAATTATACCTGAACAATGTTTTATACGATGACTAGGTACGCCGGTCTTCAAAATCTAGTTTTGGGTGTAGGTTAAAAAATTACAACCCATTCGTTCTGACCTTGATAAAAACATATTTTACGTATTAGATTAATAAATGCAAATCCATAATTACTCTTAATTAAAACGAAATTACCTGTTTTGATTCACTTTCGAACATTATTTCAAACAATACATGATCCTGTATTTTACTCTAGATAAGTGTAAATCCGAGTACTTTACAATTACCACTGAAATTTCGAAATTTGATGAAGGCAGACAGTTGGCCATAAATTCTTCTTCTTTCATATTGACGACATACAAGTATGATTTATAACTAAAAGTACTTACATGCTTTTAAAAATAAAGACAACGGGAGTTAATCGCTTAGACCTGTTTACTAAATTGATGGTGGTAACAGGCAGACAACACCGCACCGGTGTCTATCGAGCATTAGGAACGTTACAAAGTCAAAGATATTTCTTTACCGCAATGACTAAACGTGATCAAAGACCGTTGGACACCAACAAAGGATACCGTAGAAGTAGAATAACTCTAGATAGTGTTAATCTATTGAAAGTATTAAGTATACTCGTATAAGCTTAGTTTCTAGTTAATTGTTAACAAGGGTGTGTAATCGTAATATATAAAAACTATGCAGTACTTAATAAAGGGGTTTGTTAAAGAAACTAGTCGAGTACTAACACAGAATGAATGATAGTACTAAGGTACTACTTATGATCCTGTACAAAGGCTTTCAAGACATCTTTATTCCTTTATTTTGTCCACTTGGTTAGTTTTATATTAAGTGGCTACTACACAGTTTTATAATTTACGAAAGTCTTATAATATCCTGTTATACTAGCTTTGTTAAGATGCCAAGTTTGCATATGTGGTGTGCGCGTGTGTGTGCCTGTAACCAGTTTTGTGAGAGAGCGTATAACTTCATATTAGGAACTTCATCTCCGTCATCTTCTATCAAAAAAACCCTCACTTTTTTGCTTATGCGTTATTTATTCATGTCCGTAACTAATAAAAAAGGTCGAGTCTATTTCTGCACAAAAATATCTCGAACTAACGTTAATGTGTAATTACTTTTGTACAGAAAGAGCGCAGATCTTATCAGAACGGTATTATTAAATTTAATGAACTCTAGTGCGCAAACACCCTATGTCAATTTGCGAGTGAATTATTAGTGCGTAAGAAGCTGTAAAATATAATTTAATTTTTTATTTACACATTTAGACACTTATGTATGTGTAAAAATACTTACACTTAGTATGTGACGTGTGTCTTAAAAATAAAATCTGCAGGATATATTTTGGAAATTTCTTGAATACTTTTTTAGAAAGAGAACTTTCTCTTTGTTCACACAAAGTTTGTCTTTATCAATATAAATCAACAATTTCTTTTACGTTTAGTACTTAACCGATCGTCATGAATTCCTCTATACACGTTGCCAGCCAGGGCTTTAGAGAAGGACAGAGGGTACTTTTTGACCAGAAATAAAAGCTGAAGCTTGCTAAAAGCTTATAAAGAATAAAGTGACAACTGCCAAACGCAACAAAAAATATCCTTAACGAACGAACGTAGGCGAGAGTCTTCTGTTCTATCTATTTGTGCATCACTTTTAAAGCTGTCCACTGAACGCAAAAGCTTTGTGTTAACTACATTTCAGTGAAACGACAAAAATGAATAGATTCAAATGTTAGTTATTAATAAGTATCGATGGTGACGTCGATTTCCGAAGTGATCGTGGTGGTGCGAAGTGACGTGCTCGACGTCTTCCGTTTACTTGAAGCGTGGTGGCAAGGTCTACTGTTTATCGCCAGACTGGTGATTTCATACTGTCGGTTCCTACAGCAGACAGCATACGGTGGGCATTTTTGGATAGTTATATAACGACAAAATAATATAATTTAGTTGTTTCAAAGTTTTAGTTACTTTAATTTAATTACGAGGGTTTAAACACCCTTGAATTTAAAAAAAGAGCACTCTAAAATTTGAAATCTTTTATTATATCTTTCTAATTGAGACTTAAAGCTGAGACTGTCAGAACGTATACGGATATACAAAGTATTAAGTACATCAGACAGTTTATAATCATTTGGAAAAAGAAGGCTACATGGTTGATGTTTGACCAAAAGTATGACCATTGGATACCATTGCGTGAAATAAGAGAATATCTAACGACTTAAGACGACGAATCCGACTTTAGAGCTAGGGTTTTCGGTAAACAAGTTAATGTTGAGTGTTTGCTGCGATTGAAAATGAATCATCCTTTATGAGCTCTCAGTGGTTCTCCACTATACACTACTCGACCTTTTGTACTATGCAATCCAGAAAGAGCGACCAGCTTAGAAACATTGGCAAAGTTTTCGACGAATAATAACGACGAAAAATAATCCAAAGAAGTCTATCACCGATGTCATTATGACGCTACCATAAAAATGCCGAAGGTTATTGACAATAATGGTCAACGATTAACTTCATTCAAGTCAGTTAGATTTTCAATTAGGTAATATTTTGTTCAGAAAGCCATGAGACTTTGCTATGGCATAGCTAATGATTCCTCATGTTATGTTATAACAATAAATATGTAAAAGTGCATCTGTTCATTTCGTTTTGATTCGTTTTTTAATCTTAGGTCACTCTCAGCACAGTGGTTCCTAGCCGACCTGAAATATGTGGCGTAAGTCACGTTACAAAGGGTGACGTAGTAGCGTGACCAGACTGTTGACCGAGGTATTGTCGAAACAGTGCACCAGCTTAGAACTTTGTGGTATTGCTGCAGCAGAGTGGAACAGATACGGCGAAGAGATGAATAATAGTTTAAATTTCAATGTAGATTGTACAGATGCACTTAGAAGTTAGAAACTTCTCTTTGAATCACTATATTGTTAGGCGTCACAAGTCGTGACCACCAATTACATTGTCTGATTCAATTCTACAACACCTACAATATTAAAACGTTTTTTTTTTATTACATTATTTTGTAAAATTACATGATTATTTATACTTAACGTTTGATAAATATTCACATAAATCAGTTTTATCTGGTTGATCAAATGGGAGTATTGAGATAATCTAATAATATGTTTTAAGACCTTTTGTTTGTAATGGCTTTTCAGTTACCTCATCATTATCAACAGCCTTTAATAGTCCGCTGCTGGACATATACCTCTCCTTAGAAAAGAGGTTTTGGCCTACTATAATACGCTGGCCGGACGGCTTGGTATAGGGTTTGTGTCAAGTTTTCCCTCCCTTTGCAGTGCTGGTGTCCTGCGTAGTTAGCTCCCTTTGTTAATCGGCTCTTAAGGCACCCACGGAATGAATTGGTTGCTATTTATAATTCTAACAAATAACTATTTTTAGTTATTCATAAACCAACAATGCGTGTTGCTCAATATTTTCTAGTACTTACAAGTTTATTAATCCACATTCTTTGATAAAACGATAACGTTATCGGACATTAGACAAGACATACGTACTTTTCCTACCTGGCAATCTAGCATGCATTATTATTAATTACGATCCATTGATGCTTCGTATACTTTTCATATCTGATGTTTCTGTGTACCTGATTGGTAGTTATAGTTACGCAATGGAAATTAAAATATATATTAGGTAAATTAAGTATGGAAGTGGCCCATAATATTGGCTTATCCTATTTACAACTACAATAACTCATCTAGGCTATCGTAACCTTGCAAGAGTTATTATTTTTGAAAGACTTCACCTCGTTCTCAATGGTTTGGTTGCGTGACTGTTGGTACATGTCAACGACCTTTTTCTTATAGTATTGCCCCTTATTCATAAAGGCAGGCAAGTAATTTTACTTATGTTTTATTGTAAACGAGGTCGCGGCTCCGCCAGCGTAAATGTCAATTAAAGTATCTCCATACCAAATTTCATCTAAATCGGTTCAGCGGTTATTGATTCCCCATACAATGATGATTTCTATAATAAAACAACCCTATGTCCCTTCCATTGACTCGGACTATCTCTATACCAAATTTCGTCTAAACTGGTTCAGCGGTTTAAGCGTGAAGAGGTAACAGAAAGACAGACACTTTCGCATTTATAATATTAGTATGGATAGTATGAATTTGATTTGCTAGGGTACTATTTCTTTCTTTTTCACAGTCCCGTGTTAAAAAGTTCTTCTGATACGAGCAAGAAGACATCCTTGACTCTATTTTTTTTTACCTCACCTGTTGTCATAAAGTGCTCCCGGGATCAACTCCTCAATCTTTTCTAACATAAATGTGCTCATCAGCGAAATTATCATCTTGCCCTGTTCCCTATTATCATTCTAATATGATTTTTTTTAACAGAAAGATCAGCGAAATATAATTAGTGTCTTAGACACGTTAGGAATGTTTTACAAGAATTAATTAAGATAACGCCTATTCTAAAACTTCAAGTTTAGTTAGCTTTAATTTAAAAATTTCAACATTATGCAGCTTAATTCTGCACATTTTAACAATTTTTTTCAATTAATAACTAAATATATGTATTTAAATCCAATGTGTATATGCGTTATACTTTGAAAATAAAATTTAATGAATAAATAAAATGCAAACTGAATAAATTATAGTAACAAACGCTTTAAGTAATTCATTCTCGTAGAAATATGGATAAATGCTGGAAAATGAAATATTCATTATTTTATTTTAATAAAAGTTTAAAATATAAAGGTCTAATCTAATTTCTAAAGCATTTTTATTCAAACTCGGGACTTTTATGCAATTCAGATGTGACCAAAGTCGTGACCAAGACTGCTGCAGTTCGATGGTAACTTACATACGTATACCTAATGGTATTTTTGTCTATTTCAGAGCTGAAGTTGCCTGTGACGGCAATGATGGCGCCCAGCGTTTTCCAGAGGACGAAATCGCCGCGTTCTTCACCAGGAAACTTGGCAAGGCAACTACAGGTAATTGGAATAAAAATGAGTGGACGTAACCTTTACGAATAGTGGAAGTGACTTGCATTTAATGGTGCGGCACATGTTGGTTTTTTAAAAACGAAACGAAAGGCCGCTAGTGCATATAAATGGTGCAATTTAAAGTTTCCTTAGACAATTTTTAAATAAAGTTTAAGCTACCTAAAAAGTATTGAAATCTATCACAATTAATAATTAATAGAGTTCATTCGTCTGTTAAAAAAATACTAATTTTTGTCACTAATAAATAATGAAAAAACGTACAAAAATGAACTGTTTTTCTCGTTGGAACTGCGCTGTCTACTATATTTTATAGCTGAACCTCATCCCGTTGTTCAAGGAGTGATTTGACGTGATGTTATTACTAACATCGCCGCAAAGTTATAGCCAACGGTAGATTTTATCATGCACAGGTAATATAGCGACGTGTTTTTTTTAACATCAGCCATATAATAAACAAACTTAAAATAAAACAACGTGAGGGGTCTATGAACTCCCGGTCAGAACGAGGTTCCTTTTGTTTTTTGGTAGACGTTTACTATACGGTCTACTTTAAACCTAAAGAGTCAGAAAAAAATCTTGTTACACAGTTTCGGTATCGCTCCCATCCGCTCAGGAGGAATTTCGTTCCAAAAATACCACCGACTCAAAAGAACTGCTGGACATCTTCGAACGGCTTAATCGATTTTGTGCCATAATTGCTTAGAAAACTCTTGATCAAAGTCAGTCTATATTTGTATGAAATGGGCACTACAAAGATACACATGTCTAACTTAAAACATCCCTTTTTTTACTAAGTACTTAAACGGTTGGACTTTTTTTACACGCTCTTATTAGCTTGGTATGTATGTATGTATCTATGCATGTAACGGAATATTCTAACGTGATTTTGAACGTCGAATTGAATTGAAAATACGCACACTTATCAAGGACCGGTGACAATACAATATTTTGATAAATTTGGCCGATTGTCCTGATCATGATCTTCAGGATAAACGGCTTTTTCCATACCTAAAAATACCTTAGAGGCTTTTGCTACGTATTAAGTGCGTGGCAAAAGACTGTACTGAAGCCATGTGACTTACTTACTTGTTACTTTTTTAGTCTTTATAAGGCAATAATAAGATAGAAAAAAATTATAATAGAAAGATAAAATGGCCAAAATAAACTATAGTTTAAAAAACTTAAAAAACGAGTGTGATTTATACACAATACTTCTTGGCTATGAGAGAAAGTGCGCAAGAAAATGTGTGCTCGCACCTGTCTCTCTTGCCCCTACAGTAATATACGATACGTAACTCTCTCTCTCTCTTTTTATCTTCACTAACTTTTATCCCCCTCTCAACTTCCGTTCGGATAGCCCGATCACACTTTTCGTAACGTCAAGCGTGCGTAAAAAAGTTTTACTTAAAAAACACGCCGAACTAAAAAGTAGAATGTTTTCTATAAGTTCAAAAAGAAAAATAATTTCATGTTAAATGTTGGGGTGCTTTTCAAGGTTTTTTATAATATAATAACTTTACTTTTACCAATATCTGTCAATAAAATATTTTTACAACATTTGAGATCTAGCAGTATTTTATACTTTTCAGTTCGGCTAGTTACAAAAGCGTGTGTTTTAGTTTTTCTTACCTATAATTTGTTTTTAAAAGCATCTCCTGACTACTTCTCAAATAAAATTTTAATAAAAATTGTTGTATAACAGTTCCCATACCTTACACAACTACCTAGCACCTAGTTAACATCTTCTTTTCTACTATTTCAGAACGGCACAGAAGCTTCCGCGCATTCGGATCCAACAGCTGACTCGAGCCCTGGCAACTCCATATCGGATGCTGAAAACTTCGAGTGCTATGGAGAGGGGGACAATGATACTCCCATTAACACGTTAGTTTCAAATTCAATATTTTTCCCATCACAGAGCTTCGCTCTATATAATGTAGATACATATTGTTAATCAATTCAATCCCTCCACTTAGTTTCTGGATGAAGGGTCTGCCTACGAATCCCTTTTAAATAAAAGCAAAGTGTTCTCAGTAGATCATCAATTTATTCAAAATTTTATAATGATCGATTAAACCTCCTTTTTAAGGAGAGGCCTATGTCCAGCAGTGGACTGTTAAATGCTGTTCATGATGTATGTAATTAGAAATATATAAGTATGTTTATCAGCAGTCTGGTTCCCATAGTATAGGCCGTGTCTAGTTTGGAACCAGATTGCCGTTTGTGAGATGTGTGAAGTTATTATAATTATTGTCTTTTCTGGTCTCCCTTTTATTTTAAAGGGGTAACAAAATCTAACACACGGGCCTTAGCATTATTAGTGGTACACAAAGTCTATGCGATATATCTAATTTATTGCCCATTAAAAAGTTATACATATTAATAAATGAAAATTTGAAATCTACTGCAAAGCCACACGTATAAATGTGATGTAGAATTGAACCTTTATAGAAAGTCTAGCTGACCCTGAGCAACTTCGTTTGCATCTTGCAAAGGGAATAAATTTCGTTTAACACTAAAATAATGTTTCAATTCGAACCTTTCCTGAGAGTAGTGCGTTACCCCAAACAATCAATCTTTAGCTTCATAACATTATAGATTAGTATAGATTTACTCCGGTAGCTCACATTTAATTGTCCTGTACATTACTTAGCTCCTTTCGACTCTAAAATAGACATCGCTACTGGCTTGATTCCAAACACTACCAATCGATATTTGTAGTTTATTAATCAACTGGCAACATGACTACCGCGTATTTATTTTATTCTCGTAAAGGGAACGTGCGTTTTACTTTCCATATTTATACTTTAGTCGTCTCGAAGATTATCCGTATTAAACAGATAGACAAACAGTAGGGAAATCTAAAATAAAATGTTAACATTGCATTTAACTAAATGCTGTCTTTTTACATCACAGACAGTTGTAATTTTATTTATTTGTTTGGATAAATCGTAAATTTTATAGTCGGGATAGAATAAACAGAATTTGTACTGGAAATAAAGTAAAATAATTTTATATAGCTATGTTAAAGTGGGTCAACGGTATCGTAAAAAAATCTTCCGTTAGTCGTTTCATTTTATGTGCTTCGTTTGATAAGGCACACTATTTCACATGAACATTATGGCGTCTCTATTTTGTTTAGAACAGTATTTTTAGGTACTTGACAACAATAAAGGACAGAAAATAACACAACACATGGTTATTGTAATTTTGCCTATATAAATGAAAACAAAAAACAAACAGAATATTTATTATTATAAATACAAGTACACACTTTTGGGCGAAGACGAAGTAGTACATAGGTTTTTCAGTCTGCCTTTCCCGTAATGCTTTGGTCAGATATTGCTGTTAAAATAATTGTCTCGCATTTTACACTCATCCATGGTAAAAACCTAACTCGTCTTAGTTAATTATGTCAGATTTGATTACAAACACTATAGAAACTTGGAAGAAGAATACATAGCCCGTAAATCCAAAAATTAAACATAAAACAGAATCCAAAGCTATTAAATAGATAATATAGAAATTCACTGTCGTAAATCTATTGACCCTATCTACTGTTTGACCATCTCCTTCTATCGTTAATGGGAGAGTAACATTCTCCATAACGAACGACGTCGTTTTATTGTCTACATACAAAGGTCAACCTCAAAAAAAGTGTCTACAATACTATACATGTTTTTTTAAATAATACTGTCAGCGAACAGCTTAATTCATGATAAGTACTGTCAATTTTCTCAAATTCAATCTTTGTTAGACAAACAAGTACCTAATCATCAAAGTGGCACCACTAAAGAAACGAATTAGGTAATCTAGAAATTCGTTTTCAAAATACAGTATTTTTCATCGTAATTATCCGCTTCGAAATACTTACGGCAGGAAGTAATTTGCTTCGCTGAGAGTTTTCAAAACTCCATGGCAATGAAAACATAACAATAAATGAAATAGATCCACCGTTTTGTATAAAGTAATTATTATACGTATTATGTTTGATATTCTGTGAATAGTTACATCAAAACAACTGACATTCTTAGTGTTAGAGTAAATGTTAAGTAATCTCTCGCAGTTAGGTAGGTGTCAAGGTCTTAGCCAGGTACTCTGTCTATGTAATTAATTATTTCGTTTCTTTTCGTGTAAGTGATTTTAACTGAGCGCAATACCTTCCCACCTAAGAATGCTACTCACGAATGATTTTTAATACCCAAAGTGGTTATTTGAATAAAAAATTCAAATAACCACTTTGGGTATTAAAAATCTAAACTAAAAGACACCATACTCGTTTTCTGTTTGAATCTGAGTATGATTTTGTTTGACTCTGATATCCGTACTAAAGAGCTGTGGACACATTACTTACAAGGAATTAGTTATGTATCATGAATACCTTGGTTTAAGAGAGGTAATCCTTACAAGAATTTTCTTTGAACTTTCTTATTGATTTTATCTTGTTGTAGTCCAGATATATTCTAAAAGTATTCTTCAGTCATGCCACTGTAGTAACACATAATTAATCGGCTTTATTACAGGTTAGAGAACGGATCTAGAAGTCCTGGTAATCCTTTGAACCGACATTCTTGGACACGGACCAGTCTTAGGCGAACACCACCTAGGTAAGTTCTGATATCAATTTCTATTTATGATTAATTATGATCACCAAAACGCTGTGTCTTGGATTCACAAATTTATTAATAAAATTACCACAAAATGATCTTTTGCAAGTCTTAAAATATTCGTCCATTTAAAATCGAAATTTTTGAGTACGTATTAGTTATTATTTGTGGTCTTTATACTTTAGTAATTAACTTTTAAGCCGTCGGGTTTGTTTAAATTTTGAAATGGGTAACACCACTTGGTAATATTACTGACTTTTAAACTTTCGCATTTCATGGAACATAATTATGATTATTGTATGCGAATTACGGATTACACAAGCTGACTCTGACCACGGCAGTGCAACTTGGTCAAAAAAAAGTCAGGCAATTTAAATGTATTATCATAATTTTATAATTTTTAATATTACAGATTAGGTTTATATTACTATATACTGTAAAGCAATAAATACACCATTATTAAGATGCTTTATATACTTTAAGATACATCAGTATTGACGCCAATAGCAAAAACTTGTATTAGATCATTTTGTGAAGGGTTTTTTGATTCTTTAGATAGTTTTTACACTGCCTTTCCTTTCATATGTTGTTAATTGTTATCTTATTATTTTTTCACTGTTGTGTTTTTTGTGTTTATTTGCTCTCTTTGGTTTGCTTTTTACCTATTGTGTTGTATCTTCCGTAGCCATCAGGAGAATCTGCCGCATCGGAGATGGGGCTCCATGAGACAGTAAGCTATCTTTTTTTTTACTTTTATTATAAAAGTGATATTTAAAGGCTTTCTTATATTTCATTTTGTGTGTCTATGGTGCTCTTAAAATAGGGTTTCTGAAGTGTTTTAAGTAAAATGCAGTAAGGTTCATATGATACTATAAGTCTTTCTCTGCAAATTTTAAACCTATTTTATATTTTGTCGTTTAAGGAAAGTTTGATGAATTTCTAAGTAGATTATTATGGTTTCGGTACAAGATGCCAAGTAGAGGATTTATATAATGATACGAATCTATTCTTGATCATAATCGCGCAAAAGGAACACATTTTATTTATATCCAGTAAACTCTGAGTAAAACTGGGGCACTAACAAGACGAAAAACTTTTATTCCTAAATGTCCTAAACTATAGGCCTGATAGGCCTTTTTAAATATTATCGATTTTTAAATCATTTTTTATCTGAATTGTAAGTAATTAAGTCGAAATTTGGAAACCGTTATTTTTTCGTCTTCTTAGCTTACAAGAGCTTAGTTTACAGTTAAATTACAGGTCAATTATAACTCTTACTAGCTGGTGAACGCGACTTCGTCCGCGTGGAATTCGAAAAGCGCTGCCTTAGTGGATTCGATTCCCGGACCGAGTACAATTTTATAGGGATTTTCTGATAAAAAAATAGCCTAAGTTACTCCTTATACCTTATAGCTACCTGGTGGTAAAATATTATCAAAATCGGTCATGCCGTTTTAAAGATAACCCGGAACAAACAGACAGACGACAAATATTTAAACCGGTTTTTAGGCACAAATATCGTGCAAATAACCGCGTGAGCAGGAAAAAAAAACATTATTTTGACATTACAGACACTTTAATTTTATTTATTACGCCTAATTAAAGCTCAGTAAACTATTTTGTAAACTTAATACATTGTAACTTGTCATATAAAGTAATTGTAGAACATACTATTAAGATGTTAAAACGACGTCACCTGATACTACTCGTATTCCAAGTTTCGCAATGAATCATCTTCAAACATGAGTAGCTATTGAATCTCAAGTTCCCCTGTTTCTCATGGACAAGCCTGGGAATTTAATTGTACTTGTCATTCATAGACTCTGGGAACTTCGTAATACTTGTAGTATACGTTTTATGATTACTGTTACACTTAACATTAGACAAATATTACAGAAATATACGCTTCAAACGTGTGCAGCATGGTTTAGGAAGCAATTCAGATTTTAAATTACAAATTAAAAATTGTTAAGTAAATAGTATCAAGAAATAATCATTTTATGTTGAAGTGGTTACCTTATGTTTGTTAATGTAACCTATACGTCCAGAAAGAGTGTGGTCGGCCCTATTTTTTTAATCTCTGGCACCGCGGCTCACAGTACATTCGACTTTCAATATGCATATGTTGTACAATGATCGGTAATGAAAAAAATTATTGTTATTATTATTTTTTTTTTTTTTTTTTCATTTATAACTCAAGAAAACATTTTAAAAAAAAGTGTGTGAGTGCAATTCACACACGGCAGAAGTTAAACTTGAGAAAAAAATAATATAAATATTATTTATTTTTTATTCCATAAAAACCCAATAAATTTTGCCCGGCCCGGGAATCGAACTCACTAAGGCAGCGCTTTTCAAATTCCACGCTAACGAAGTCGCGGGTACCAGCTAGTATTAAATAAAAAGATAAAAATATTCACACTGTCAAAATATTATATTGAAAATAATGTGTAATGTATTTATCATACTCTCGCCGACTTAATCCTATACATTTGTGTTTGTTTCATCGAGTTTCAAATCACAACGATCCTAAAGAAGTTTCACTTCAAAAAGTACAAGCTTGTCGATTCAGTCGAGAACTGACCATTTCGGAAACCAATTAAATTTTATCCATTTTAAGATTATATAGATACTTGGGTAAAAGCGATTCTGAGTAACTAAAAATGCTAATTGATAACGTGCAAATATATGTACAGTTGTAAGTTGTACAAACAGTTACCAAGGTATTGCTAGCAAATGGATTGTACGAAAAAATTGGTTTATAGAACCAACATCACAAAATCAGTGCAAGAAATCTATATTTATATAAGAGATTTCCACGTGTATAGTCACTCATCACGATATCTCTGGAACCATTAGAGCTAAAGACTTGAAATTTGGTAGGAATATTCTTTTCACCGAGTAGAGGTCAGCTAAGAACGGATTTTAAGAAATTCAATAAATAAAAAAAAATGTAAATAGCAAAACAACGTTTGCAGGGTCAGCTAGTATCTCATAAAATAACAAGTATTATTGACCTTAAAGTCTATCTTTTATAATAATTTCAAGTTGGTTAATAAGTCTTATTTTGTGTTCTATTCCGACGAAAGTATGTTCAGGTTCTAAGTTTAAAAAATGTTTTCATTGTTAACAAACTTTCCTAGAATTTTTGAGAGAATTTATTGGAGTGGTCTTTTTTTAAACCATTACAATTTCTAATTATTTGAATCCAATCATTTCTCCATAGTGCATTTTCCTTAGAAAAAAATTGTAAAAGAATATTAAATAGTATATACATATATACCTATTAGTAATTATTAAATAGATAACCCTAATAAATTGATTTTAAAAACAAACCAAAAATTTCAAAATATAATAAATAATAGGTGTTCTAAAAGTTATCTCTTAGGGGCGTGGCTTTGGATCTGTTCAGGGACTACTTGTCAAACCGTAGTCAACGCGTTAAGATCGAAACATACCAGAGTGATGACCAATATACGACATACGGCATCCCTCAAGGAAGCATTTTAGGACCGACACTCTTCCAAATATATGTAAATGAGCTTTGCCAACTACCCCTCTCTGATAGCAACATCTATGCTTATGCCGACGATACTGCTATTCTTATTTGCGGACCCACTTGGCAGGAAATAAAAATAAAGGCGGAAAAAGCTCTGAAAGACGTCATGAGTTGGTTAAATGAGAACTTATTGACCCTAAATTTGACAAAAACAGTATACATACCTTTCGCGCTAAGAAACGCTACTAAACCGCCAGCCACCTTTTCTTTAACGGCTCACGCATGCAAAAACCCACAAGCATCATGTTTATGTCTTCCATTAACCAGAACAAACTCTATAAAGTACTTAGGAGTACATTTGGATGATGAATTAAAATGGGATAAGCAAATCAACACGCTCACATATAGAACGATGCGTCTCATTTGTACGTTCAAGTCACTCCGAGACTCGGCCGATCTTAACACTCTTAAGATGGTTTATTACGCACTGTGCCAATCTGTCATCGGGTACTGCATCAGTGCATGGGGCGGTGCTAATAAGACACTCTTTCTTGGAGTGGAGAGAGCGCAGCGAGCGGTGTTGAAGGTAATGACTAGGAGGCCTTTCAGATACTCAACTTCACAACTCTATGCTGATTGTAAGGTACTTACCGTTCGACAACTCTTTGTGCTTCGATGTTCTCTAAGGAAACATAGCAGAATTCCCCTGCCAAATAAAAACAAAAGAAGGAACTTACCGCTGGGCACACAACATAGGACTTCGTTTGCAAAGCACCACTATTATGTACTAAGCACGCACATTTATAAAAAAAAACCCAAAGAACTTAATATACTCGAAATGAACATACACACATTAAAGCTCGTCTTGACTGAATGGCTACTAAAACAAGACTACTTCAGTACAGAGTCATTGCTTACTTACATCGCATAAAACTACAAATTAAACACAAATACTTTCACCCACGAGCGCGCACGCACACACACACACACAAGCACACACACACTCATGCATACACACACACGCGCGCGCGCAAGCAAACGCACACACACACTCATTCAGATACCATTTGTCATAGTACCATATATCATGCATAACAGCTTAATCTTATATGTAATAAATACACAAAGCATTCACAACTGCTCTAAATTAGAAAAGTTTTATCTAATATTGTATAAATGCATGGCCGAACACTGTCTTCTAAGATACAGGTGTCACCTAGTTTAAAAGGCAGGGTTTTTCACTGATTGAACATGGATATTTCGATATTACCGACGACTAAAATTGTCCTGTAACTAACATGTACTGTAAATTTCTATGTATAATTGTTTTGGAAATAAATTTATTATTATTATTATTTATTATTATTATTATCTCTGCTATTAGCGACGCAGGCATGGCACAACTATACATGTCATTACCCAACAAAGGGTGAGATCTTTTGTTACGACGACTAGGATTCTCAATCTAAAATTCGTAAAAGCACCGACAAACCAATATTAAATCACTGTATAACTTATGTCCAAATTGATTAATACATACTTATAACTGAAGAATTTCTGTACATTCCTTTATTTCGAAAATTGACGATTTGTTGGAAATTAAATTTCAAAAACTAGCCCTTATGATTTCACATTTTGACATGGTCACCCTAAATAGCGAATTCATAAGAAATATCAAAAAGTAATTTATTTTTCAGATACGGAATGTATACAACGTTGATATGTACATATTTATTTAGTAGATATTTATACTAAATTTAGTGTCTCTGGTTTTTGTTTCTGTTGTGATCTCAGGTAGGTACAGTCGATTATTAATTATGCAGAACGTCAGGATTTAGGTTCCAAATAAAATGCGTTTAATTACTAAATCCACTCAGTTCCACTTACTACTTTCTCCTGATGCTACAAGTTCAAGCACACTTGATACTAAATGTTTTTGGAGTGGAATATAAATTTTGACCTATTACTTTCATGGCAATTCACACTCTTAACTATATATTAAGAAGCCACATTAAAAGTATTGTATATTCTTGAATATCAACAGAGCTGGATTCAGATTTTTAGTAGGCACCATACACAATGACCACAAATTATACAAAATTTTCAAAAGTATTCATTAAATACTTTCCATGTTCCGGGTGGCTCCTTAATTCAGATGTTTAGATTGATGAGCCACTTTTATATTGATATTACTTTTAATATATCTTACTACAAATTTTAGAATTTGTCCT